CAAAGGTTAAGAGAGGCATTTTATAGAAAAATGCCTATCACATTTCGCAGCAAGCATGGTGATGAAGGAAAACTTCGACACCCGAAAATGAAGGATAAAAGAAAGTACGGAGGAGCAATCCTTCAGTTAAGAATCGAAAGTCTAGGAGGCTACGAGGAGGAAAGAATAAAGTCAGAAACCATTCAATTCCTCAAAGAAAGTCTAGATGAGAAGTTACAACCAGAAGTAACTCTCGAAGAGCAAATCTCACTAGAATATATCAAAAGAAAAATCCAGAGAAATTTCAATGAAGATCCTTTAGCTTGGTGGGATAAAAATGAACTCAAATCATCCTTAAAGGTTAAAGCAGGAAAAGAGCATGAATTTGTGAGATACAAGCCCATCCTTATGAATCAAGCAGACCGTGAGGATATGCAAATAATACTTAAGGAACACTTGGACCTTAAGTTAATTAAGAAGGAGTTTCTCCATATAGCAGTCCTGGATTTCTTGTTCGAAACCATGGAGAAATAAAAAGAGGAAAATCAAGGTTGGTTATTAATTACAAAGGTATTAATAACATCTTAGAATTTGATGGATATTACATCCCGAGCAGAGAACATTTGGTGAATTGTATCAAGAACACCAAGGTATTTTCAAAGTTCGATTGTAAATCAGGATTCTACCAAATCAAGATGGAGGAAGAAAGTAAGAAGTTTACAGCTTTCTCTACACCCCAAGGGCATTACGTATCGAATGTTATGCCAATGGGGTTAGCAAATGCACCCCAGATTTACAAAAGAAAGATGGATAATCTTTTTAAAGATTATTTTAGTTTTATGTTCGTATATATTGATGATATTCTAATCGCCTCAAAGAACATGAAAGAGCATCTCAAACACCTGGAAATATTTTCAGATGTTTGCCACAAGAAGGGATTGGTGCTTTCAGAAAAGAAAGCAGTAATCGCTACAAGACAAATTGAATTCCTTGGAATCGAGATTGATGAATCGGGAATCATTTTGCAAAACCATATTGTTGAAAAAAATACAAGGATTCCCAGATGTCCTCAAAGATAAAAAATAATTACAAAGCTTTCTCGGAGTTGTTAATTTTGCAGGAATGTTCATAAACAATCTGGCACAATACCGAAAGGTTTTCAGTCCACTCCTGAAGAAAGATGCAGATTTTAGATGGACAAATGAACACGAGGAAGGAATTAAACAGTTAAAGAAAGTTTTCCAAGAACTTCCAAAGCTGGCAATCCCAAATGACGAGGATGAGCAAGTTCTCTATACAGATGCTAGTGATCATTGGTGGGCAGCGGTTCTCACCAAAGCAACTCCGAATGGAGATGTTCCATGTCGATATTGCAGTGGACTCTTTACAACTAGTGAAGCAAACCGATGTCATATTAACGAAAAAGAATTCTTTGCAGTCAGAAAGGCATTCAAAAAATGGCCTTTGTTTTTGTTATCAAAAAAGTTCACTTTAAAAATTGATAACTCCAGTGTTAAGGCTTTTCTGAAAAACAAAATTGAATCAAAACCAGAAAAATCTAGATTATTACGATGGCAAGCTGAATGTCAATATTATGATTATGATATTGTCGTTATTAAATCTCATGAAAATGTTCTTGCAGATTTGTTAACAAGAAATGGATGTATCTGAAGCAGATGCACTCCTCAAAAGGATAAGACACCTTCGCGAAAACATCGAAGAGGTGGACAAAAGTTTTGGCCAGTTAAGGCTTAATGCAATAATAGCTGGACAAGTTCAAAAGGCCGACTTAGATAAGGTCAAATCAGCAATCAAAGGTACAAGGATGGCTAACACCTTATTATGGGATGCCTTCCAAGAACCTTTACGCAAAGCTGGATCACCATCGGTGAGCCATAAAGAATTCCGAGAGTAAGAGGTTTCAAAGAAAACTCAAAACGAGGACCAGGAACCATTACCTGGTGCAGCGGACGCTGCTTATGAAAGTATTTCTTCAGATTCTGGAGAAAAAGAGAAAGAGACACAAGACCAAAGGTCTAAAGTCTCGATTCAACCCGACACCTCTGGGGTAAAAGAGAAAGAAATCAACCTACGACCACAGACAAGTCGAGAAAAAGTTGATACTAACAAAAACATTGATTCTCCTACTTCTTTTCAGGTTTACAATTCACTGATGGAGGACTTAATTATAAAAATAAATATTAAGCCAGAAAAGTTTATTGTGGACGATACTGGTTTATATCCCCGAGTTTGGGTACTGGAAGGAGCTCGACCAGACCCTGTAAGAAAATGGATGGACTTTGGTTCAATAGCTTCAATTTTTACTGAGGTGCCGAATTTTCCTGAGATTTCAGGATTACCCGAATGGATTACTAAAGCCGTATATGAATCATGGTCTTATAATCCTCATCTGAAAAGAGGAGAAGTTTTGGAGCTAAAATTTATCTTTATTGCCCCAGAACCTGCAAGTGATTATGGAAGGCATGCCGCCTTTCATTTCATTAAGTTACAACGTCCTAACAAAAAGGCGCTACTTCATATCGGTACTACCAAGGAAACGCCTCTGTACACATCAATGACGGAGGATGAGATTTCCACACGACGAGCCTACGGTGTGTGGGTATGTCTTACCGAAATGGAAAAGGTAAAATATCCGTTTAAAATATATCAAAATTCACCAAACGGATCATTTTTACTTAATTCCTTGACGGGAAGCACCTCCAAGTTTGCAAACGACTTGTTCAAGAATAAAAGAAAATTCTTATGGGAAAACAAGTTGGTAGCCACGGAGAATACACGAAGAAAGGCGTGTAACATGTTGCAAGGTCTTAGATGGCACGAAAATATTTGTCCATGTTGTGCAATTCAAGAGAAACCACTGTTTGGAAAATTATTTCCGATGAAACGGGAAAGACCCGGCCAGAAAAACAAACTGGAGAAAAAGGGAATTCCAAAAAAACGGAATTTCAAAAGTTTAAAAGAAGATGAGTCTGATTAAGATTTATCAGACAGGGAGGCCCACCATAAAATTAATGGCGGGACAAGGGAAAAGGAAAGATTCCTTCACCAAAGGCAAAGACAAGTTTTTCCGAGTCAGCTCCACATATACCATGTGACCGACAGAAAAAAGTGGGTTCAATAATTCTTCAAACCGGACCCATCAACATGTAAAGACCACAAGGCATTTACCTACCGGTTGGTACAAGCAATAATAGAGGACTCCAAGACCTCTATAAATACAAGATTTGGAGGAAACAGAAGGCATAGAACATCCTCTTCAGTTTTCTCATCAAAATAAAATTCTCTGTAATAATAGTGTGTGAGCTTGTGTGTCTTTTTATTTTCCTTTGTAATTTTTATGTGTATACGAGTGTTTGCCTCTATTATGAGAGGCTAAAAGGTTTTCTCATCCCTTAAGGAGATTACCTATGTAATAAAATCACTTTGAGTTCTTAATAAAAAAGAGGCTTTTGCTTCACAACATGTTGTCATAATTTTCATCTATCTCCATAATTAAGTATCTGTAAGCTTGGAGTAGGAAACGAACCAAGGTTGTGCTGAGTGGTATCTGAAGGAGTCGGATAACTTGTAGTTCATCTTCCCATTGGTGAAGTTAGATGGTGAGGAGCCGTCCGTGAAAGGAACTAGGGGCACTAATTTTCCGACTGGTGGAATTGCAACCCATCTCACCCGGAACCATTTTGGTCAAAAAAGGTACGAAAATTATGGAGTTATTTAATTTTACGGAAGCATGTTGGGCCTGGTATTGTTTATTTTATTGTGGGAACTCTTTAAGTGAAAAATTCAGGTACAAAAGCTTGGTACTACGTATTAATAAAGTTGGTACTATTCTCTTATTAAAAAAAGTGGTACGATTCCAAAATAAACTGGTACTAATTTTCTGGACTTGAATAAAGATAGGGGTATTTTGGGAATACTAAGAGGGTTATTATTTTATTGCAAGTGGGAGGCAGTAAAGTGGAAGAAAATTAGAGGAAGGGACTGAACTGGAAATTGAAAAGGGGTCTAGGTACTTTTATAGAATTTGCCCTTAATAAAATTCATCATACAAACGCATGTGGACGAAGGTAAAAGACTCCCATTAGATAAGTTCTTTTGTATTTGGTTGAATAATATAAGTCTTATTTATTTTTTATATATACTTTCTAATGACATGATGTTTTGACTGCCTTGGATAATCAAATTTCAGCAGAAAAAGCAGGAAAAAAATGTTTCTTACGAGAAATACTAATCAATGGGCAATTTGATGCAAAAAAGGCTAATTGTGTTGGGCTCAGATGCGCAATGCGGAAGATGTAAATTAAAATATCAAGGTAAAATGGTGAACAATAATCCCGATCCCAGCAACTCAAGAATGACAAAAGAAAATCTCTTGCAATAAAACAGGAATAATTCTTTTCTGATGTGGAAGATCAGATTAGACTGCAACCACATAAATATTAATAAAATATGCAAGAAATAAGACACCAAGATTAACGTGGAAAACCCTCCAAATAGAGGATAAAACCACGGGACAACCTCCGAATAATTCCACTATATTTTCAAGATAATTACAATATCTTTTCACACTCTCTTACACTAGAAATGTAAAATATAGTGACCCAGTGAGAACCCCACTCCTAAACAAAGAGTAATAGAGTTGATACCCAACCCGGTGTATTTTTCCCACACTCACAGGATTTACTCAAACACTCTATTTTTATCTCACTGAAAAATAACACTCACAAGATGTTATTTCTTCTCTCTTTTTTCTTTCAGTTTCTTTTTCTCTCTCGCTTGGTGCATCTTCCTTGGTACTGAATGCCCCTATTTATACTGAAGATGTTACATAAAACCTGCACCAAATATAACTTCTTTTTTATTATTTTTTTTCTTTGTTTTCGGTGATGGCATCACCGCCATTCACATGCTTTTTTTATTTTGTTTGTTTGTGGTACATGATTTTTTTGGCTGGATTCCACAATTCTCCCCCTCCAGACAAAGGGAAATAACTGCAAATCTTACATGCATTCCATGCAGATCAACTCGGCACAAAGCTGAAGCTTTCCCCCTGTTACAACTTTCGTCATCATGTCAGCAGGATTATCGTCAGTGTGAATCTTTTCCAACCTGAACTGTTGTTCTTCCACTGCTTGACGTAGCCAATGATATCTGACATCAATGTGCTTCGTGCGAGAGTGGTACATCGCATTCTTACTCAAATCCAATGCGCTCTGACTATCACAATGGATATCGTACCTTTTCTGCTTCATTCCCAATTGTTGAAAAAACCTCTTCAACCAAAGCATTTATTTGCCTGCTTCTGTCATTGCAATATACTCTGCTTCAGTAGTCGACAAGGCAACAAATTTCTGCAATTTAGATTGCCAAGATACAGCTCCTTCTGCAAATGTAAACACAAACCCCAAAGTAGACTTTCTACTATCAAGGTCACCTGCCATATCTGCATCTGTATAACCTTCAAGAACTTGGTTTCCTTTGCCGAAGCTCAAGGACTTATTTGCACTGCCTCTTAGGTACCTCAAGATCCACTTCACAGCTTCCCAATGATCCTTCCCAGGATTGGAAAGATACCTGCTAACAACTCCAACCGCGTGAGCGATATCTGGTTTGGTACAGACCATGGCATACATCAAACTCCCGACTGCGGAGGAGTATGGAACACCCGCCATAGCTTTTTTTTCTTCTTGACTCGTAGAACAACTTTGTTTGCTGAGTTTGAAGTGATTGGCCAACGGTGTATTGACCGGCTTAGCCGATTTCATGTTGAATCTCTCTAGAATCCGATTCACATACCGTTCTTGCGATAACCATAACCTCTTGGATTTTCGGTTTCGCATGATCTGCATGCCCAAAATTTGTTTCGCAGGGCCCAGATCCTTCATTTCAAAGGACTTTGCTAATTCCTTCTTCAAATCACCAATCAGCTTCATATCTTGTCCCACTATCAACATATCATCTACATATAGCAAAAGGATAATGAATCTATCACCTGAAAAATTCTTAACGAACATACAGCGATCTGCATCAGTCTTAGTATATCCATGACTCACCATGAACGAGTCAAACTTCTTATACCACTGTCTAGGAGCTTGTTTCAGTCCATACAGGCTCTTCTTCAATCTGCAGACCATGTGCTCATTTCCAGTCTTCTCAAATCCTTCTGGTTGCTTCATGTAGATTTCTTCATCTAGGTCTCCATGAAGAAATGCAGTCTTCACATCTAGTTTTTCAATCTCCAGATCCAAGCTAGCCACCAATCCGAGTACTACTCGAATAGAGCTCATCTTTACAACCAGAGAGAATATCTCGTCAAAATCTATTCCTCGCTTTTGTCCAAATCCTTTCACGACTAAGCGAGCCTTGTACTTCAACAGCTTGTCACCATCTTTCTTAAGCTTGAACACCC